CCCCAAAACCCCAAAACCCCAAAACCCCAAAACCCCTTGCAGATTTCAGTTTATAGAATAATTTTAGTATTTATAAATTTAAAGAAGTATCAAAATGAAGGAAATTACAAGAGGAAAATCCTCTCAAGAGGCCACATCAGGCCTGAATGATCAGAAGTCGCTCAAGAATCAGAGGAATCAGGAAGGTCCAAGGAGTCTGGATCGCAAAGACTCAGAGTGAAGGAAAATATTACATAAATCAACTCCTTCTGAACAAGGATTTGTACCAGTTCAGGGAAGACTGAGCAATAGAGTCAGTTTTCACTCGCCAAATAGAAGTCTTGTGACCCCTTTTGTTGGAAATCACAAGACTTATGAGGAAATGAACTTTGCTGGGACAGATCAAGACCTGAGAATCAAGTCCAAAACTGCTGAACTCTCTAATAAGGATTCTCAATGCTTGGATGAGAAGAATGGTAATCCTATGCAAAACGATGCTAAGATGAGCGAGAATGAGCCTTTGAGCTTGAATTGAAAAGAAGAAATCTTGCTGGATAACTTTGATAGCGACAGTAGCTCTATTCATAGTGAAAATGCGATTTCAGTACCAAAAGAATATGTCAAAAATGATTATTTAAGTGTCTGAGGGGTAAATCAAAACTTCTCTCACGCTGATAATGAATATATCAAGTTTTTCAACCATCCTTCAGGATCAACTTTCAATTGCCCAAAGCCAGGATATGATTGCTTTATACAGAATCCTTATTCTCCCTTCTACGGACATTATCCACACCTCTCTCAGACTCGCCCAATGGCACATAATATACCTGCGAGAAAGGATCTCAACAATACTATTCAAAAGGATTCAAGAATGATTATTTCACCTCTTGGCAAAGTCAGTGAAACACAAAAGGTAGGATTTAGTATTTACAATATCAGATTTTCTATGAATTACTTGTGATTAAAAGTTTACATTATTACTCACTCTAAAAACTCAAATTTTTGATTATTTTGAAATTTCTTTGTAAATTATATTGGATTTCATCCATTTGAAGAAATTATAATACAGCCAAGCAGCCCAGTTTTTAAGAAAAGCAAACAGCAAGAAGTAAGCGAAGAGGCTACAAAAGCTCCATCGAGGATGAAAGAGACAAATCCGTAAGTTTTTACTCAAAGATTAGCCCTAGTATCTTTCTGACAAAGTTTTAGTCAGACAATAATCACTTTTTAGATCGCAGAAGCAGACTCAAATATTGTCAACTCGTTCTAGAAGGGTTCCCTGAAAATAAGGTGACTGTTGCTGAGTCTGTTCCAGTCTCGAAGACTCCAACTAAGAAGGTGATCCAGAGGATGATAGTAGAAGCTCCAATGTCTTTCTCAAGCTCCAAGGCTGATGAAGGAAAGAAAGTTACTGATAAGTCTAAACAGAGCATGGAGGAAGAAAAAGGCAAAAATGACTCACTATCTTCTCTTCATACTTATTCTGATTACAAATTGAACAACCGCTCTGTCTTAGATGACAAGGAAGCAGGTTCGGTTGTCTCTCTCAGCTCGAAGGAGAGTAAGAAGGAGAAAGAATTTAATGACTCTGAATATTCACCGAGTGAATTCAAGAATAGAAGCTTCATGAAAAGCTCTAGTTCTAAAGATGTTTCACAAATGAGAGCAAAATATAAGGGAAAAGGCTTCAAGAAGTATTTGTTTATATTACTAATCATTTATATAGGAATCCAAATAAGATCAACTCAGGCAAGACTATGAAGACTAAAACTCATAAGAGCAAGGTAGAGGATTATAGAGATTGTAAGATCTGAGGGAAAGTGTTCTCTCGCCAAGGTCTTGGAGGTCACATGTCAAGAGCTCATCCTGGCCAGAGCGATGAATACAGACAAAAGAAGCAGACAAGAAATGGAAGAGAATCCAAATTGAGACTACTACGCAAGGCTCAGCGCGTCTATAGAGTCGTTCATAAGTGCCCCGATATTAAAGGAACTGACATGAATAGGACCAAACTGAACAAGATCAGAGATCATATTAAAAAGTGGATGCTTGAGCATGCTGGAATGGAGTATGACACTTCTGAAGAAGGAGCACCCTTTTAATAGTCTCTAATCATACATCAAACTATATTTCTCAACATAATTCCAAATTATTTACTATTTTCTATTACTTTAATTAAAAAGGGGTTTTGGGGTTTTGGGGTTTTGGGGTTTTGGGG